CTCTCATATATTGTGTGTCTGTTTTAAAAACACGGTAAATAGCCCAACAAAGATGGCTGCCATAATCATGTGGCAGGGCTGAACAATAACCTCTGTAAACTTCTTCAAAGTCAATGTCAGCCACATCAATCAACATCCATGTACCTCCTAATGTGTCTGGAATGCTAATTATTATGTTATAATCTGCTACACAGATAATCATTACCAAGTAAACCCCTTATACAGCAGACCTGCCAATTAAAGCCACCCGACAATCAGATGCATTGAGGATTATCCACCTAACCTCTGGTGTGGGCTATGGACATTTGGCTACCTGCAAGGCATGCCTTTGTCTTAATAGTAACAGTTTGTCCTACCCCAGGTAAACTTGGTCACAAGGCTTCCCATAATATTACATAGTCTTTTTAACTGTATAATTTTGAAATAGCTGGACATTTAAAGAGGTCAGAACTGCTCCATGCATCATCAACTGACAGAATCAACACCAATAATTCTGACTTGCAAAGGAAAAGCCTATAAAAAACAGCCTCCAACCTGTAGTTGTACACTCTACAAGTAAAAATCTCCTTTCATCAAAATAGTGAAGCAGAAATCATATAACATCAAAACTTCCTCAGAAGGCTTTCAACATGAGTTTTTAAAGAGAAACAGCTGCCTGCAACTCCTCAACTGCTAGCTAGCCAAGCAACCACCTTCACAAAGTAGTTCCATCCTTGCTAACCCAAACTGTGGACTTTTGGACTCTATCTCAATAGCAAGGTTATTGATAAACTGGTTTCCCTCAGTTGCTTTGTGTTACTACTTGAATAACTCCTTTATCCATTTTGAATCTGTATCTCCTCATGTGTTTGTTAATATATTTGTGCTGCAAAGTTTTCTCTACATCCATGTGTGTACAAAATACACTGTACTTCTAGTTTAATGCTATCATAGCATTATTGCAATTCTTGCAAAGTCAGTGCCCACAGAGGGTGTGGGGAAATATGCCCTCATCATTTTATAAAGAAAAGGAATATATTTAAAAAAAAATTTCTCGTGGACAGGTTGTGAAAAGAAGGAAAGTGGTTTGTTTTATAACACACAATCAGTGTGTAACAAGGGCCATAAAAAGAGAAGAGCACGTTTGAGAACTGGATAGACTTAGGAAGGGAATTCTGGTGCTTAGGGTCTAAATAGCTGAAAGCACAGCTGCCAGTTAGAGGGATGGCAAAGGGAATGGGTGATGCCTGCAAAAGACCAGGATTGAACATACATACAGTTTCAGAGTTGCTGGACAATTATAAGGCTGGAAGAAGTAGGGGTCGGTGCTGGGCCCATTGCTGTTTGTTATCTATATCAATGATTTGGGTAGGAATGTACAAGAAATGATTAGTAAGTTTGCAGAAGGTGGTACCGTGGGTAGTAAGGAAGGTTTTCAGAAATTGTAGCAAGAGTTTGGTCAGCTGGGGAAGTGGGCCAAGAAATGGCAATTGGAGTTTAATATAGATAAGTGTGAGGTGTTGCATTTTGGAAAGTTAAATCAAGGTGGGAGTTTCATGGTGAATGGTAGGGCCTTAAGCAGTGTAGTGGAAGAGAGGACGTTGGAGTTCAGGTGCACGGTTCTCTGAAACAGAATGCTGGGGATTTGTCATCAATCTGCTTCAGCGTGAAACAATGGTCAGGGAAGAAAATGGAACTGGCTGCATATGTGTGTGGTGTGGAAACAAAGACAATAGACAGAATCAATACAGTGTGGAGCTGCAGGAACACAGCAGGTCAGGCAGCATCGGAGGAGCAGGAAAGTCAACATTTTGGGTTTACACCCTTCATCAGGAAGGATGTAAATCCGAAACGTCGACTTTCCTGCTCCTCTAATGCTGCCTGACCTGCTGTGTTCCTCCAGCTCCACACTGTATTGACTTTGACTCCAGCATCTGCAGTTCATGCTATCTCTGTGTGACAATAGACAGAATTACCACTAGCAAAGGTGGGGATGGTGTAGGTGCAGACAGTGGAAGTTAGAACATCAAATTTCAGCATTCTGGAAACTTAACCTGGACACATTCAATCCTGTACTTAATATGCATGTATTTAGAGGAATTTGTGAAATTCCTGCGGGAGAGGGTGTCTGATTTTTAAACGGAATAAGACACATTCAACTCAGCACTCTGACTTTACATATGAACGAGGAGCAGAGGTAGGTCAAGCCTGATCGATCATTTTATAAAATCATGGCTGACCATTTCTTGTTCCAAATTCTATCCTCCCATCAAATATTTGCTATTTTCCAACTACTTCTACCTGTGAAGTTGCCAAGGATATATTATTGCCACTCCCCCCATCCCCACCAACTTTTGTATGAACGTGAATGGTGGGAACCTCAGAAATTGAAGATATTGTAGTAGTTTGTAAGGAGAGGGCTGAAATGTTTTACTGAAGGATTTGGATGATGAGTGTTCAAAGAGACTGCGAGAGTCCCTGATAGAGGAAATCCTTTATAAATGGTTCGGCTTACAGGATGCAAATATCAACATTCTGAGAAATTGTTGTGACCTTGTGAAACTGCTAGATTTGTTGAAGATGCCAGAATGAAGCTGACGTTTTATACATACCAAGGGCAATGATGGTCCATCTTCAAAATGCACCTGTTGAAACATAAAATCCTTGATTTTAATATCTTACAATACCAATATCTGATGAAATCCATTTCCTGTGTCTCCAATTGTACCAGTGAAGTTCACATGCTCTGGGAATGTAATGCTTAGCCCACACTCAGTTCTAAGAATTGCTAGATTGCAACATTCAATTCTCTCCAGCAACAAGGGAAAAGCTTTTTACAAGTTTACACTATGTCACTAAGGGCAGTTTGAAGGTCACTGAAGAGCAGTTAAAAGATTACAGACAGGTACTAAAGGTCTGTAAATATGTGAGTGAGATGGGAGTGTAGACTCCCAACTTAGGATTGATTGATTGATTTATTGTCACATGTACCGAAGTACAGTGAAAAGCTTTGTTTACGAGTGGTACAGGCAGATCACTGCAAGCAAAGGATATACAGATCAAAAAGATTTAGAGGCATACAGGTTACATTGCAGGTTACGTTATTTGAGTCTAGAGAGTCCATTCAACAGTCTGATAACGGCCGAAAAGAAGCTGTTCCTGAACCTGCTCGTGTGTGTGTTCAGACTTCAGAGGTTGTAGGAGATCATTATCAGGGTGCAATGGGTCTTTGATGATGTTGGCCACCTTTCCACAGCAGCGAGCCGTGTAAATAGAGTCCAATGGTGGAAGGTTGGCTTCCGTGATGGTCTGGGCTGACCACCTTCTGTAGTTTCTTACAGTCCTGGACAGAGCAGTTGCTGTACCAGGCCGTTATACACCCAGAAAGTATGCTTTCAATGGTGCATCTGTAGAAGTTGGTGAGCGACCTTATGGACATGCCAAATTTCCTGAGCCGCCTGAGGAAGAAGAGGCGTTGTTGTGCCTCCTTGACTTTTGCATTTACGTGGGAAGTCCAGGATAGGTCGTCGGTTATTTTCACTCTGAGGAACTCGATGCTCTTCACTCTGTCAACCTCTGTTGATGTAGATGGGGGCGTGTTCTCCTCCTTCCTTTCTGAAGTTGATGATCAGTTCTTTAGTTTTGCTGACGTTAAAAGACGGATTGATTTCATTGTGCCACGTCACTAAGTCCTTTATCTCCTTTCTGTATTTTGACTGGTTGTTGATTTTTTTTATATTATAGGGAGGTCAACATGAGTTCTAAGTGGGACACTCAGTGAGAAGAAGTCAAGAGCATTTAGATAACTCTGTGCTGTTAGAATTTAAGCCAAGGTATGGCAGTTTAAAAAAAAAAATCTCTTGTGGGATGCAGGCATCACTGACGAGCCAGCATTTATTGCCTATCCCTAACGGCCCTTGAGGACACGATGGTGAGCTGCCCTTTTGAACCACTGCAGTCCACGTGCTATTGTTAACCCATAATACCATTAGGAAGAGAGTTCTAGGATTTTGACCCAGTGACAGTGAAAGCACAGTGATTTATTTCAAGTCAGGATGGTGAGAGGCTTGGAGAGGATCTTGCAAGTGGTAGTGTTCCCAAGTATCTGCTGCTCTTGTCCTTCTAGATGGAAGTGGTCGTGGGTTTGGAAAGTGCTGTCTGAGGACTTTTGGTGAATTTCTGCAGTGCATCTTGTAGCTTGTATATACTGCTGCTTCTGAGCATCGGTGGTGGAGGCAGTGGATGCTTGTGGATGTAGTGCTAATCAAGTGGACGATTTTGTCCTAGATGGTGTCAAGGTTCTTGAGTGTTGTTGGAGCTGCACCCATCCAGGCAAGTGAAGAGTATTCCACTGAACCCAACTTCTAAATAGTGGACAGGCTTTGGTGAGTCAGGAACTGAGTTATTTGCTTCAGTATTCTTAATCTCTGACTGCTGTTGTAGCTATTGTGCTCACAAGGCAAGTCCAGTTGAGTTTCTGGTCAATGGTAACACCCAGGATGTGGGAAATTCAGTGCTGGCAACACCACCAAATGTTAAGGGGCCGTGATTAGATGGTCTCATATTGGATGTGGTCATTGCCTGACATTTGCGTGGCTTGCCACTTGTCAGCCCAAACCTGGATACTGTCCAGATCTTGTGGCATGTGAAATTGGACCGTTTCCAGTTTGTGAAGAGTCGCAAATGGTGCTGAACATTCAGCAATTACTGGCAAACATCCCCACCTCTGCCGTTATGATGGAGGGAAGGTCATTGATGAAGCAGCTAGACGGTTGGGCCTAGGACACTACCCTGAGGAACTTCTGCAGAGATATACTGGAGCTGAGATGACTGACTTCCGACAACCACAACCATCTTCCTATGTTCCATGTATGACTCCAACCAGCAGAGAGTTTGCTGCCTGATCCCATTGATTCCAGTTTTGCTAGGGCTCCTTGAAGCCACACTCAGTTGAATATGGCCTTAACGTCAAGGGCTGTCACTGTCACCTCATCTCTGGAATTCAGCTCTGTTAGGTGTTGCAGTAAGAGCTTAGGAAAAGTCCTTGATTTTATGAGAAATCACATGGTTGCCACTGACTGGTGAATTGTATGCAAGACAATCTATTTTACTGAATTTTGCCTTTGCCAAGGGTGTGTTTATGGGATGTTACTATATTGAAACAGTGAATTAGTAATAGCTAGTGTGTGTGTATATATAAACTTTGTTAGGCATTTTGATAGAGTTACACTTAACCCAATTCTTTTATTTTTATTTCATCTGTATTTTAACTGCTCCTAGATCTCATGGTCTTTGTTTTCTTAGTTTCTTTGAAGAGCAGTGGACATACAGCCACATATAATAACATTTATGAAATGTTTCAGATAATAATCAAGTTAAAACTACAGAAGAAGATGCTGAAATGTTAGAAATGTTACAAAATGAATGCTTACTTGTCACAGACTGAGCAGTGGTGACAGCGATCTGGCTTCACAAGTTGACATCTGTCGCAGTACCGAATCGCTTTGGAAATAAAGCTATATATAAGAACAAAAGTCTTGGAAAAGCTAGATATTTGTTAAAAACGTGTTAATCCAACTCATTATCTTTCCTTCATATCATCCTTTTGAAACTTGATTCTTATTCTACATAAACAGATATCCGTCATTTAAATAACATTTCTATTTGAGTGAAATGGTAAATTAGGGGATAAACAAACCGAAAGAACTGTAGATGCTGGAAATCAGAAACAAAAACAGAAATTGCTGAAAAAACTCAGCAGGTCTGGCAGCATCTGTGGAGTGAAATCAGAGTTAACGTTTCTGGTCCAGTGACCAGTTCTGAAGAAGGGTCATTGCATCCAAAACATTAACTTGGATTTCTCTCCACAGACTCTGCCAGACCTGCTGCGTTTTTCCAGCAATTTCTGTTTTTGTTGTTGGTAAATTAGGGGCGTGTCTTGAATAGGACTGTTGCTATTTTACATAAAACAAAGAACGGGCCCTTTGGCCCACAATGTTGCGCCGAATATGACGCCAAATGAAACGAATCCCTTCTGCCTGCCCTAAGGCCATATCCTTCCATTCCTTACATATTCATGTGCTTATCTAAAAGCCCCTTAAATGCCCTTATTGTATCTGCCATATTGTACCACCCCTGACAGTGCATTCCAGAATCCTACCACTCTCTGTGTAAAAAACTTGCCCCTCACTTCTCCTTTGAACTTTCCCCCTCTGACCTTAAATGCATGCCTCCAAGTATTAGACATTTCAACTCTGGGAAAAAGGTTCTGACTGTCAACCCTTTCTACGCATCTCATAATTTTATAGATTTCTATCAAGTCTCCCCTCAGCCTGTGCTGCTCAAGAGAAAACAACCTGAGTTTTTCCAACCTCTCCTTATAGTTCATACCCTCTAATCCAGGCAGCATCCATGTAAACCTCTTCTGCACCCTCTCCAAAGCCTCCACATCCTTCTTGTAATGTGGCAACCAGAATTGAACGCAATACTCTATATGTGGCCTAACCAAAGACTTATAAAGCTGCAACCTGACATCCTGATTCTTGTACTCTGTTCCCCGACCAATAAAGGCAAGCATGCCATATCTACATGCCATATCACCACCCTATCTACTTGCATGGCCACTTTCAGGGAGCTGTGGACTTGAACCCCAAGATCCCTCTGTACATCAATGCTGTTCTAGGTCCTGCCATTAACTGTATACTTTTCCTTAACATTTGATCTCTTAAAGTGCAGCAACTCACACTTACTCAGATTAAACTCCATCTGCCATTTCTCTGCCCAAATCTGAAACTGATCTGTATCCCACTGTATCCTTTGACAACCTTCTACACTATCCACAACTCCACCAATCTTTGTATCACCTGCAATCTTACTAATCCACCTATCTACATTTTCATCTAAGTCATTTATATATATTAGAAACAGCAGTGGACCCAGTACGGATCCCTGCCAAACATCACTAGTCACAAACTTCCAGCCTGAAAATCACCCATCTACCAGTACCCTCTGTCTTCTTTGGGCAAGCCAATTCTGAATCCATAAGGCCAAGTCACCGTGTATCCCATGCATTTTAATCTGGGTGAGCCTACCATAACAGACCTTGTCAAAAGCCTTATTAAAACCCATGTAAACAACATCCACTGCTCTACGCTCATTGATCACCTTCGTCACCTCCTCAAAAAATTCAATCAATTTAGTAACACATGATCTTCTCTACACAAAGCCATGCTGACTGTCCCTAATTAGGCCATGCTTTTCCAAACGTGTATAAATCCTATCTCTAAGAATTCTCTCCAATAGCTCCCAACCACCGATGTGAGACTCACTGGTCTGTAATTTCCCGGATTATCCCTATTTTCCTTCTTCAACAGAGGAACAACATTAACTACTCGCCAGTCATCTGGGGCCTCGCTAGTGGCTAATGAGGATACAAACATTTTGGTCAAGGCCTCAGCAATCTCCTCTCTTGCCTCTCTCAACAACCTGGGTTAGATACCATCTGGCCCTGGGGACTTATCCACCTTAATGTTCTTCAGGAGATCCACCACCACTTCTTTCTCGATCTCAAAATGCCCCAGCATATTAGCATGCTCCACACAAATCGTGTTATCCTCCATATCCTTTACCTGGGTGAATACCGATGCAAAGTACTCATTTAGGATCTCACCCATATTCTCTGCCTCCAAGCACAAGCTCCCTCCTTTATCCTTGAGTGGTTCTACCTTATCCTTATTTATCCTCTTGTTTTTAATGTATCCATAGAATGCTTTGGGATTCTATTTAACCCTACTTGCCTTGGTCATTTCATGGCCTTATCTTGCTGTCCTTATTCCCTGCTTGAGTACTTTCCTGCTTTCCTTATATTCCTCACAAGCCCTGTCCGATTTTAGCTTCCTAAACCTTACACATGCTTCTTTTTCCCTTTTGTCTAAATTCACAACCTCCCTCGTAATCCAAGGGTCCCTTACCTTGCCATCCTGTTCTTCCTCCTTACTGGAACATGCCGGTCTTGAGCTCTCCCCAGCAGGTCTTTAAACAGTTCCCACAGGTCAAATGTAGACTTGCCCGATAACAGCTCCTCCCAATTAACACTCCTTGGCTCCTGCCTAATACTGACATAATTTTCTCTCTCCCAGTTTAGTACCTTCCTGCAAAGTCCTGACTTATCCTTGTTCATAGCTATCTTAAAATTTAAGGAGTTGTGATTACTGTTACCAAAATGCTCTCCCACTGAAAGGTCAGTCACTTGGTCAGGCTCCTTCGTCAATTCTCAGTCCAGTATGGCCCTCTTCTAGTTGGACTATCCACATACTGTCTCAAAAAACCCTCTTGGATGCACTTAACAAATTCCACACCTTCTAAGCCTTTTGCTGTAAGGGAGTCCCAGTCAATATCGGGAAAGTTAAAGTCACCTGCTGTGACAGCTCTGTTTTTATTGCACCTTTCCATAATCTACCAACATATTTGTTCCTTGATCTCTCGGTGTTTGTATTTGGGAGGCTGAGAGTATAATCCAATCAGAATGATTGCACTCATTTTATTTTTGAGCTCCACCCACATTACCTCAGTGGATGAGCCCTCCAGTATGTCCTCTCTGAATGCAGATTAACATTCTCCCTGATTAATAATGCAACTCGTCCACCTCTTTTACCTTCCTCTCTATCTTGTCTAAAGAAATGAAACCCTGGAATGTTGAGCAGCCAGTCCTGACCCTCTCTCAAACAAATCTCTGTAATGGCCACAGCATCATCTGCCTTACCTTTAATACTCCTTGCATTGATATAAATACATTTCAGCACCATCGGTTCATATACCTGTCTCTGCCTGTCCCTTCTTTCTGATTTACTGGTCCTAACATCTACCTTCCCCTCAATCCCTCCACTTGCTGACCTGCTGCTCTGGTTCCCAGCCCGCTTCCACTCTAGTTTAAATCCTCCCGAGTGGCACTAGTGAACCACCCTGCGAGGATATTCGTTTCCCTCCAGTTTAGGTTCAATCATCTCTTTTGTACAGGTCACCCCTGCCCTAGAAGAGGTTCCAATGATCCTAGAACCTGAAACCTTGTCCCCTGCACCAGATCCTTAGCCATGCATACATCTGTCCTATCTTTCTATTCCTTGCCTCACTAACACGTCGCACTGTTAGTAACCTGGAGATTACTACCCTTGAGGTCCTGCTTTTCAGCCTGTTTCCTAACTCCCTGTACTCACTCTGCAGGACGTCATCCCTCTTTCTACCTATGTTGTTGGTAGCAACATGCACCATGCCTTTGGCTGCTCAGTCTCCCCCTTAAGAATTTCGTGCAACTGCTTGGAAACATCCTTGACCCTGGCACAAGGGAGGTAACACACTATCCTGGATTCGCAGACGTGGCCACAGAAACACCTGTCTGTGCTATTTTGCCTACCTTGTTTTAGGATGGTCACTGAACATGCTCAGTAAAAGCAAACTATTGTTTACTCCTTCTTTCTCTGACCATCTTGCTTTGCTTCTTCTCTCTCTGACCTTCTCACTCACTACCTCCTCAGTGGAAGAGGAGGAGCCGGAAGTGGGAAAGTCAGAAGCTAAGTTGAAAGAGTTAGTAAGTTAGGAGTAATTTATTAAAAGCTAGTAAGACTACTTTTGGACCAGTTAGGTTCAAAGCAGCCAATAAAGTTTTAATGTAAAAATTAAAGGTGCAACCCACCCTTTCTTACTAGAAAGTGATTTTCATTTAACACATTTTTATTGAGTATTCATTTTTAGGAACAGATTGGGAGTGCTGAATGAGGAATAGCTGCACCAATTTGTCCATTCTTTTACCAATGACATACCTCACTTTCTTGAAAACATTAAATCAACCACGACTTCATTAAAGTGCATTAAATCTCCTGTAGTGTTCAGGGATGTGGACCTTAGGTGGGTTATAGGGGGGATGGGTCGGTGTGGACTTGTTGGGCCGAAAGGCCAGTTTCCACACTGTAAGGATTCTACGAACTTCCTCCATTAAAATAGTAGATGAAGGGATTTCATATCAACATGTTGAGTATTTAAAATTATTAAATTATAAATTTAAAACAAAAGGAGTAATTATAATACAAGCAATGGAATCCAGTCTTTCACAACTAGAAAAATGTAACCTATAATGCATTCTTTGATCATAAATAAGAATGGTTGCTATTGTTGTGTTATTTCTGTATTCATTTCATAGCTTTGTTCCCACGTCCAAATGCTGTAGTAACATCTCAACAATTAAAAAAATCAATTTATATCATTTACTACATCATATAATAAAGTCACCATTCCTATCACCATCTAATACTAAAAATGTTAGACTACACAGTCTTGTACCCTCCTAGACAGTGACGTGGCACCACAGTATGTGATGTTCTGATACAAGGCTACCTGCCTCGCCTTCAGCCACTCTCTCTGTTCCATGGAGTCAATGTACTCAGTGTGTCATGTGTTTGCTGACATATTCTCAAAGGCAGGCAAGTCAAGCCAGGAATTTTTTCAACTCTTGTTACCTGTCTTGAAGATGACAATCCAGCCTACCATGTCTGACCAACCTGATAAAGTAACAGAGAGGGCTGATGGAGGTAGTGCAGCAGGGATGTTGATCAAGATTCTGAAAGGTATTTGAAACATTATCCTGGAATAGACATCATTGACAAATAGAAGAACAAGATATTAAAGGGCTGGTGATAACATTGATTTGTAATTGGCTAAAGAATAGGAGGCAGAGAATAAGGTGAACAAATGCTTTACTGGCTGGAGAGAAGTATGTAATGGGATTTCTGGTACCATTGCTTTTCTTATGACCTGAACTTGGTTACAGTAGGTACAATTTAGACATTTTTTGGTGATATAAAATTTCAGAATATGGTATATTGTCAGGAGAATAGACTTGAGATAAGAGACAGACAGGTAAAATGGACGGATACATGGCTGAGTCAACATAATGTGGTTACAGGTGAAGTGAAACACTTTAAGAGGAACAATGGAGAGGTAGAACAGTGCAATTACCAAGGGATTGAAAGAGTAAAGGGAAGAAATAGTCTTAAGTCAACAAGGTTTTAAAATGGTGAAATGAGAAAATAAGGCAAACCCTTGCAACTGTCTGATTAGGCTTCAGTTTGACTATTGTCTACAATTCTGGGCACCACACACATCAAAGCCTAGGAGGAATGGGGGAGATGGAAATGTTGGAGAAGGTGAGATTATTCTACTTAGAGCATAGAAGATTAAGAGGAGACTTTACTTCAAAGCTTTAAGCGTCTTTAATGGGCAAAGCTGGGAGTAATGATTTTCTCTGGCAAAGTGTCAATAAGCAGAGATCATGGAATTGGACAACTGCCATTGAGGTGGAGTGGGACTGAGGAGCATATTTTGAAAATACAGCTAGTCGTTAAGATCTAGCTATAATGCATGCTAATTGGAAACACAACTTAAATGTTAGTGTGCAGCAATTAATGGGCTTTAAATCTTCTCTTCTGTAACTCTTCAACAGAACTTTCAGGAGTTATCACTAATATGTCTTTGTGTCATTAGTGCACAATATTGCATACTTCACTGTTAGATTTGTGAGAAACTGACCATCTGTATGAAAGACATGATGATACATAACTTTTTGTACAAATTAACTGATGTCAAAGTAATGCATGGTGGATTATTTTTGCTACTTTATTCACATGTGGGACAAGGCCATTATTTATTGCCCTTCCATAGTTGCCCTTGAGAAGGTGGTGATTAGCTGCTCTCTCGAACCAGTGCAGTCCATGTGCTGTAGGTACACCCACAATGCCCTTAGGGAGGGAATTCCAAGACTTTGATCCAGCAACATAGAGCACAGAACAGTACAAGCCCTTCGGTCCACGATGTTGTGCCGAACTTTTACCCTAATCCTAAGGTCTATCTAACCTCCACCCCTACCTTATACTATCATCCATATGCCTATCTAATAGCTGCTTAAATGCCCCTAATGAAGCTGACTCCACTACCCTCTCCGGCAATGCATTCCATGCCCCGACCACTCTCTGAGTAAAGAAGGAACATATATCCAAGTCAGGATGGTGAACAACTTGGAGGAGAACTTGCAGATGGTGGTGTTCCCATGTATCTTCTGTGCTTCTAGATGGTAGAGGTCATTGGTTTTGTGAATGCTGTCTAAGGATCTTTGGTGAAGTTCTGGAGATAGTATATACTACTGCTACTAAGCATCAGTGGTGGAGAGAATGGATGTGGTGTGTGTGGTGACAATCGAACAGCTGCTTTGTCCTGGATGGTGTCAAGCTTCTTGAGTGTTGTTGAAGTTACACTCATCGCATTCCTGACTTCTACCTCATCTCTGGAATAATGGACAGGTTTGGGGAAGCAGGCAGTGAGTTAATCGCCGCAGTACTCCTTGTCTCTGACCTGCTCTTATAGCCATGTATTTACGTGGTGAGTCCAGTTAAGTTCTGGTCAATGGTGACAACCAGAATGGGGGATTCAGTGATGGTAATGTCACTGTATGTCAAGAGGCTATGGTTATATTGTCTCTTCTTACAGATGGTCATTTTTAGCATTTGTGTGACTCAAACACTACTTGTCACTTGTCAGCCCAAGTCTGAATATGCCTGCTTCAGAATCTGAGACATTGCAAATAATGGAGGAAATGACGAAGGAGCTGAGGATGGTTGGGTCGAGGACACTACCCTGAGGAACTCCTGCACAGGTGCCTTGGAACTGAGATGACTGACCTCCAACAACTACAATCATCTTCCTATGTGCCAGCAGAGAGTTTGCTCCCTGACTCCCATTGATTCCAGTTTTTCTAGGGCTCCTTGATGCCACATTCAGTCAAAGCAGCCTTGATGCAAAAGGCTGATACTCACACCTCATCTCAGGAATTCAACACTTTGTCCATGTTTAAACCAGGGCTGTAATAAGCGTGGACAAATTCAGTAAGGACAGCATGTGACACATTAAGCTGAGGGTTGCCACCTCATATGCTTGAGCTACATATTCCTGTGTTTGAATGGACTGTGTGAACTTTCTAATATATACTGCATACTAAAAGCCAACAGTTGCAAACAGCTAGAACTTAAGTTATAGAATTATACAGTCATACAGCATAGAAACAGGTCCTTTGTCCCACCATATCTATGCTGACCAATGAACACCTAACTACAGTAATCCCATTATGATGGCCTATCTTTCCCCTGGTCCTTATCTTGTGGTCAGTCACAGGATGTCACTTTGGACTTGTCAAAAACTGGCAACTCCAGTTCAGAAAGTGCATTCTTGCAAAGTAAAAATGAGAGATCTAGGCTTCAGCCCTGAGACAGATTTTATGAGTGTGCATTCTAAAATGCCGTACTCACATTAAGGACTTTCATTCCATGGGTGTTTGAATTGAAGGTACACCAAGAACACTGTTGTGCCAATTTGGCACTTACATTTATAACACTCTCACAAGGAAGCAGAAAATTACTGAAGAAAATTACTGGAATTGAAACATTAACTCTGTTTCTCACAACACAGATGCTGCCAGACCTGCTGACTTTTTCCAGCATTTTCTGTGTTTGTAGCAAAAAATTGCTGATTGAATCTACCTAATAGGATTTGCACTTTGGCTAAAGGAACAACCCTCCCGAACTGCTTTCTTTGCAGCCTTCAATCTCCCTTTCATCAGATACTTTTTCTGGTTTCAATATGCACTACAACCTAAATCCAGCTACTACGTTTTGCTGCTTACAACAATGCTTGCTGTTTACCTCCAGATAATGTTCTTGTGTAAATAGGTAACTCCTTAGCCATTCGTCTAAGGACTTCCTGTTGACCTTCACCTCGATCCTCACGTTCAATTTGTTCTCGGTCCGTATATGACAGATGGAACTGTGGATATAGATAAAGAGAAAGAAAAATAAATGTGTTTAATATTGACCAGCAAGCTTCTTTGAAATCTTATTTCCTTTCAGCTCAGAATTCATTTAATGTGGATTAGCTTGACCCACATCTACAACAGTTTAGCTTATGGTCTGAAATAGATAGCCTAAGAGATGCAATTATGAGTGACAGAATTGTAACTCTGAGAAATAGTTTTATGAATTCAAAGTTCTTATACAGCTGCTCTCAACATGCTCATCCATAGCATCCCTATATTAGTCTAGTTAACAACTGCGGTGGACTCCCACTCAGACTCATAGCTGAGTAGGCAAAATTCATAATTTAAAAAAAACCTGCTAACCAGGAAGGCTAAAAGTTTGGAAGATGGAATTTATTATTCATAATTTATTTCATTTCTTTAATTTTTAAATGTTTCATCTCCTATCAAAGCAATGTTGGAATTCAGAAACCCATTGATAGTCTTTGCATCAATGAAATACTATGGTAGCAATGAGAGAAAATATTATTTATGACCACAGTCCACCTTTACCACCATTTCAAAATGCCCAGCTATAACTGAGGGACTATATTCAGTGTTTGCCGTTGTGTCCATTGGGAAGTTCTAAAGCACTGACAGTTTGTGTGAATCTTGTGGAACAAGCGCTAATTACCAAAGAACAATTTGAAACATGCGGACAATCAAGCACCAGCATGACCCTATTGTTCCAGGAGTGTGGCTCATCTCACAAACTGACTTGCTTGTTATCATTGGGCAATTTGCTATTTAATCTGTCAGATTATTTGAATGATTTCCAATGGTCAGTTCTGGTTTTGATCAATTATACCATATTTTCAAATGGAAGATTTGGTGAGGGTTTTTATAAATTTTGTATTGGGAGAGGTTGAGAGTTAATTTTGTGACTGACAAGTATAAGAACTGGTGACTGGTGGTCATGGGTTTTAATGGCATTCTTGGAAGTGATTCTTACACTGTCAGCGCTTTTATTTCCTGCCTTATTTTTTTGAATTACTTTGGGTTTTTTTTAACTTGGAGGCTTTTCTAGCTTTAAGTATTTTTGCTGTTCTATGGCTGCTTTTGATGTTAATCAGGAGCTGCCAGTATTGGGGAAGATTAGCTTCAGCAGTGCTCCAGGGATCCTGGGACCCAAAGCAACTTTTGACTCCCACAATGCCATTGTGTTCTGTATCATACCTGAATTCTTTCTCTCCTGCCCATCTCTAACTGTTTTTGCATACTTGGATTTCTCCCCAGCTCATTTCCCTCATGTCACCCTTTGATCTCTCACTACATTCCTGCAAAAATCTCCACAAATAATGTTGGTCTTGCATGGAGGTGTGGCCTCTCTGGTGAAGGATAAAATAAACTACAGAGAGTTTTTTGCAGGGAAAAGGAAACAGCTAGAAGTTGAACTCCGTGTTTGAACCAATGACATAAATGGGAAAAGGGTTGGAGGTCCTAAAGTGAGTTAACAAACAAGGGAGGAAGTTAAACAGCAGAGGCGTCATGAGCAGTAAGCATCCCAATTTGCCCATTGCCATTTTCAGTATATATAGGAGCAGTGAAGCAAGACAGCTAAAGAAATGGGACAGAAGGTGAGATTTCAAATTCCTAGCAGATTGGGAACAGGTTCTGGAGCAGCAGGGACGTATACAGATGTTTAAGTTCACCTTAACTACAGGAATCCTTTTTTTTTTGCAGGCAGTTTAATAAATTGAGGTTGTTGAGGTTGGTTGGCTCGCCGAGCTGGTTTCTCGTTTTGCAGACGTTGCGTTACCATGCTTGGTAACATCCTCAGTGCAGCCTCTGATGAAGCGTCGGTGTGTTTTCCCGCCTGGTTTTTTAACTCTGCGGTCCGTTGAGATGGATTGCCTCACTTCCGGTTTTCCTTCGTAGTGGAATGTATATGGGATCGAGTTCAATGTGTTTATTAATAGCATGCTTCGTGGAGTGCCATGCTTCTAGGAATTCTCGTGCCTGTTTCTGTCTGTCCCAGGATCTTGGTGTTGTCCCAGTCGAAGTGGTGGCTCTCCTTGTCCACGTGGATTGAGATGAATGAGTATTGGTCGTGTCTTTTTGTAGCCAGTTGGTGTTCATGTATTCTTGTTAGTTTCCTTCCTGTTTGTCTGATGTAGTGTTTCTCGCAGTCTCTGCAGGGGATTTTGTAGATGACATTGGTCCTGTCCATGGCGGGGAGTGGGTCTTTAGTTCGGGTGAACAGTTGTCGTAGGGTTGATGTGGGCTTGTGTGCCACTCTGATGCCCAGCAGTCGTGGGAGTCTGGTGGTGAGTTCTGGCGTGTTTCTGATATAGGGTAGTGTGATGAGTGTGTCAAGGCATGTAGTCTCTTTCTGATGCTGTTCGTGTAGGCATCTTCTGACACAATTCTTTGGATATCCATTATCCTTGAAAACCTGAAAGAGGTATTCTTCTTCCTCTTGCGTAGTTCTGTGTTGCTGCAGTGTGTTGTTGCCCTTTTAAATAGTGTTCGTACGCAGCTTCGTTTGTGTGTGCTGGGATGGTTACTGTTGAAGTTCAGTACCTGGTCTGTGTGTGTGGCTTTTCGGTGTACTTTCGTTTGCAGTTCCCATTTGTCTTGCGCTCTACCATGATGTCCAGGAATGGGAGTTGTTTGTTCTTCTCCTCCTCTCTGGTGAATTTTATTCCGGTGAGGGTGTTGTTTATAAGTTTGTGTGTCTCATCTAATTTGGTCAGTTTAATGATGACAAAGGTGTCGTCTACGTAGCGTATCCACAGTTTAGGTTGGATTTGCGGAAGGGCAGTACTTTCCAGTCTTTGCATCACTGCTTCTGCTATGAGTCCGGAGATAGGTGATCCCATGGGTATCCCATTGATTTGCTCGTATGTTTGGCC